ACAGTATTTATGATAGCCAAGATATGGAAGCAACTAAGTGTCTATCTATAGATGAATGGATAAAGAACATGTGGTACATGTACACAGTGGAAAATTACTCAGCCACTGCACGGCAAAGGAAACAACCCACAAAACTAATAGGCAACCAAAAGAATGGGAAAAGATAGTTGCAAATGACATATCAGATAAAGGGTTAATATCCAAAATCTAAAAGGAACTCACCAAACTCCACACCCGAAAAATAAACGACCCAGTGAAGAAATGGGCAGAAGATATGAACAGACACTTCTCCAAAGAGGACATCCAGATGGCCAACAGACACATGAAATGATGCTCAGCATCCCTCCTCATCAGGGAAATACAAATCAAAACCACACTGAGATACCACCTCACGCCAGTCAGAGTGGCTAAAATGAGCCAATCAGAGAACTCTAGATGCTGGCGAGGATGTGGAGAAACGGGCACCCTCCTACACTGTTGGTGGGAATGTAACTGGTGCAGCCCCTCTGGAAAACAGTGTGGAGGTTCCTCAGGAAACTAACAATAGAACTCCCCTATGACCCAGCAATAGCACTGCTAGGAATTTACCCAAGGGATACAGAAATGCTGATGCATAGGAGCACATGGACCCCAATGTTCATAGCAGCACTCTCCACAATAGCTAAAACATGGAAAGAGCCTAAGTGTCCACCAACGGACAAATGGATCAAGATGTGATTTATCTATACAATGGCGTACTACATGGCAATGAGAAAGAATGAAATCTGGCCATGTGTAGCAACATGGATGGACCTTGAGGGTGTTATGCTGAGCGAAATAAGTCACGCAGAAAAGGACAAATATCATATGTTTGCACATATAGGAGGATTGGGAGGAACTTAATGGAGGACTATGGGGGAGAAGAAGGGGACAAATGGTGGGGGAAAGGGAGAGAGGCAAACCATGAGAGACTCTTGAATGCTGAGAACAAACTGTGGACTCATGAGTGTGGGGGGTAGGGGGAGATGGGCATGGAGGAGGGCACTTGTGGGGATGAGCACCGGGTGTTATATGGAAACCAACTTGACAATAAACTATTTGTTAAAAAAAAAAAAAAGAAAAAAGAAAAAAGAAAATTACTCAGCCACAAAAAAGGATGAAATCTTGCCATTCATGACAACATGGATGGAACCTGAAAATATTATGCTACATGGCATAAATCAGACAAAGAAAGACAAATGCCATATGATTTCACTTATACATGGAATCTAGAAAACAAAACAAATGAACAAACAAAAAATAATAACAGACTCACAGATATGGAGATACAGACTTGTGGTTGCCAGAGAGGTGGGTTGTTGGGGGTATAGGTGAAATAGGTGAAGGGAATTAAGACATACAGACATCCTCTTATAGAATAAATGATGAGAATAAAAAGGACAGCATAGGGAATACAGTCAGTGTTATTGTAATAACTCTGTATGGTGACAGATGGTAACTACACTTTTTGTGGTAAGCATTTCATAGTGTATATATGATTGTTGAATCACTACTTGAAACTAATAATATTGTAGGTCAGCTGTGTTTCAATTAAAAAAAAAAGCCAGTTACAGAGGAAAAATATATATACCTATCTCATTGGATTGTTTAGTGCATTACATGATTTAATTCTTTGAAACCCAGCACAGTGCCTGATATAAAGTAAACGTTTCATTGGGGATACGGTCTCACGTTTTTAGCTGTTATTTTGATGGATAATACTCAAATATAAAACTTTCGTCCCAATTCATTTTCTAAACTCCATTCACATATTGCCATGTGTAAGTGTTTACACTTGAATTTGTTCACATATGTTTATTGAACATTTATTTACTATGGGAGAGCGATGTGTTTTGTGTTGGAGGAAATACAGTTTCTGCCCTGTATTAGTTTTCTCTTGCTGCTATAACAAATTACTACAAACTTAGCATCTTGAGACAATTAAATGTATTACATCAAGGTTCTTTGGACCAGAAGCCTGATGCGGGTCACATTGGGCTATAATCAGGGTGCCAGCAGCAACCTTCCTTACTGAAGACTCTGGAGAAAAACCCAATTTCAAGCTCATTCAGGTTGTAGGTTGAGTTCTTTTGTTTGCCATTGTAGGACTGAACTCTTCCTTACTGGCTATCAGCCAAAGACTGGTCTTTGCTGCTAGAAGCTGTCCGCTCCTTCTCATGTTTGCTATGAGCTCCTGATGGCCTTTCTCTTGTGCTGACGTTCAGGTGTCTGTGTCTTAGCACCAGCAACTGTGTATCCCTCTCATGCTTCAAATCTCTTTGATTTCCCCTTCTGCCAAATCACTTCTGTGTTTCCACTTCCAGCCAGTGATAGTTCTCTGCTTTTCAGGCTATAATGTTCAAAGACAGATAATCCAAGATAACCTGTCTTAAGGTCTCTACCTGAATTACACCTGCAAAGTTCTATTTTGCCGGGAACATAATATATTCATAGGTTCTGGAGACTAAGGTCTGAACATTCTTGGTGACCACTCTTCTGCCTATAATATACCCATAAAAAGCTTGAAATCTGGTTGGGAGATAGACACATGTACAAATAAAATAAAATTGAAGGAGTTGGTATTGTATACAGTGGGAGAATGAAGAAAGGAGGGAATCAGTGCTATTGAGAGATAGACATTTGAGCTGAATATGGAAAGATGAGTATTTGTTTGATAAGGGGCTGGGGGGGGGTCATGTCAGGGAAAAGCAACAACAGTGATAGCAATAATAGTTAAGTGGCTGTAACAAGCATTTTTACAAGATTATTTTACAGAAATTCTCACAAATGGTAGATGGTATTATTATCTACTATTGTAGCTTCTACAGATGAAGTCTTAATGTCTTCACATGTAGAATAGGAAGGGTAAAATTGTCTTATAGGGTAGTTGAAAGAATTAACATTGGTGGCTAAAGCATAGCACATAGTAAACACTTAGTACATGGTAGGTAGAGAGACTAGAGGGTGGATAGGAGAAATACTTGGGTAGAATTGACTGGACTTGGCCATTGATTATGAAAGTAGGGGACGGGAGAATTCATAGTGACTGAGAGAGCTCTTTGGTGGTGGAGATGTTACATGGATGACAGTGTTATTCAATACTGTAGGAGGAGAAATAGGGTTTGGTTTTATTATTAGTGGGGACAAGGTTTGAGAAGAGGAAGGGGTGAGTTCAGAAGGCCTCTGGAGGAATATTCAGTTGAGTTTAAATGATGGCTTAAATAGTATAGGTCAGACACTTGTAAGAGAGGTTAAAGATGAAATGGTCACAATCACTTCAAATTCATCATGTCTAACATGGAACTTCACTCTTCTCCTCTAACTGGTTCCCCATCTGAACTCTACTCTTTCTTCTCACCATTTTTTTAGTGTCCCAAGCTTGACCTCTTTTTCTTGTCCTTGACTCTCAGCTCTCTGGAGGGGGAACACAAAGCCCTGTTTACAGTGTTTGCAGGTTACTCTGGACATGGCCCATTTCAGACAGTGGTAGCTGCTTTTGTGCTACAATGGCAGAGCTGAAGAGCTCCAGAAGATAGCGCCCGGGCTGGCAAAACCTAAAATCTTTACTGTTCGAGTCTTTGTGGAAAAAGTTTGCCAACTCTGCTATATAGTCTCCAAAGTAATAAAGTAGTAACATGGTAGAATCCCCTATCTCTAGGCACTCTTCTTATCTACCAAGGTGGGTGGGTGGAGGGGGTTGTTTGAGGGGGCAGTGGGTGAGACCATGCAGGGTCTTGAGGAAAGTTTTTGGATTTTTATTTTAAAAGAAAACACTGACTGCTATTTAGAGAACAGACCATAGGGCAGCAAATGAGGAAGCAGAGAAATCTGTTGAGAGACCATTGTTATAATCCAGGTAGACCTTTAGATCAGGGTAATAGCTGTGCAAGTGAGTTCACAGTTTGGATACATTTTGAGGATAGAACTGACAGGATTTGCTGATGGAAAAAGAGGAGCTAGGATGAGTCTTGGATGGAGAAGTAGCACCAAAAAGGAGTCTTAAGTTGGAGCCTGAGTCATTGAGATCACATTATACCAAGTTGCTGCATAAGGGGTTTTAGAAAATGAGACTTCAACAATGCCTGTATTTTTTTAATTTACTTCCTCTTAACCATATATATTCCATGAGGAAAAATTCTTTAAAAAAATTTTTTTAGTGTTTTTATTTCTGAGAGAGAGGCAGCGTGAGCAGGGGAGGGTCAGAGGGGGAGGGAGATACAGAATCTGAAGCAGCCTCCAGGCTCTAAACTAGCTGTTAACACAGAGCCTAATGTGGGGCTTGAACCCTCGAACCGTGAGATCATGACGTGAGCTAAAGTCGGACGCTTAACCAACTGAGCCACCCAGGCGCCCCTCCATGAGGAAAAATTCTTTGTGTAAAATAATTTTCCCTTCTGAGAAATTTATTTTATTTATTTTTTAAGAAATATATTTTAAAACAAATTCCTAGCTTTGTTTTAAAATATATTTCTTAAAAAATAAATATAAATAACTTTATATATTCTCTATATAGAAATAAGTAAATATATACAAATGTTTCTAAAATATGGAATTATTAGAAAAGGAAACTATAATAAAATCCACATTAAAAAATGTTTATTTTGACAGAGAGCACATGCAAGTGAGTTGGGGAGGGGCAGAAGGAGAGGGAGACAGAGAACCCCAAGCAGGCTCCACACTGTCAGTTCAGAGCCTGACTCAAGGCTCGAACTCAAGAACTGTGAGATCGTGACCTAAGCTGAAATCAAGAGTCGGACACTTAACCCATTGAGCCACCTAGAAACCCCAGTAAAACCAAAGACTGTGATTTGGTGGCTTAAAAAAAAATCTGTTCAGAAATTAACAATTTTGGTGGAGTCGATTCCAATGCCCTCCTCCTCCCTACCCCCTATCCCTGAAACCCTTAAAGTGAAGTTTCAAAAAGTCACAAGTCCATGTTTCGTTGTACTGTAAATGATTCATTACTCATGTCTTTTATGTAGGTTTTACTTGTAATGGACACAAGGACGGAACAGACATTCATTTTAAAAGTAAGTAGAGTTTGTATATTTCATGAATTTAGGAATTTATTTTCAAATTAATGCGTCAGAAAGGAAAAATATTTAATTTTTTTCCCTGGGAATTTGAATGTTCTTTTATGTTTGTGGTGGTCTATATTTGTTTTACTTCCTGTTCTTCGTCATAAGTTGATAAATACTTTATAGCATGCCTTTAGAGGTTATCATTTGGTTAAGTTGAAGACTCATTCCCTCATGTTTAAACATATAGTGTGTACCTTAAATATAAATAAACATTTTGTGTAATTTGTGAAGACCGCACACTGTTGCCCTTTGATTATGATTACAGTCCCTAAGAACTGAAATTTTGCCTTAAAGTCTCTGGTTCAGGTATTTGGGAAAGTGTTACCTACATTCCTGCCCTCCCCCCCTTTTTTTAATCTAAATTCAATTCTAGGGACAAGAAAAGAAAAACCCCTCAACTTTGTAATTTCAGAATTGAAATGGATATGAAAGTACATATTCCAAAATATCCTAATTTAATCATTTCCACAGCATCTAGAGTTAATCAACTTCAGATTAGTTTTATGTATGTTTTTTCAGATTCTTACAGCATGGCAGTAGGTCATGTTAACATATACTGAAACAGATTTCTTTCTGAGTATACTTTATCACTGGCATTTCCCCAGATTTTTAAACCAGGGTATGCCATCAGAAACTACACACCTTGTTCCTTTGGAGAAGACTTCAAATAATCTTTATACTGTTTTTGGCATAAAATTTTAAATCGGCTGTTTAGGCTTACATTTTGTGTCTCAGAAATTCGCATGATCTCACAATGTCTACTGCTTTAAAGATCTCTCTATATATGTAAAATAAAACTTAAGAAAAGGTCATAGAGAAATAACTGTGTGTCATCCTGATGACTTAGTTTGAGAGCATCTCTAATAAAAACACTGACCCACGTAATTGATTTTAATGGCAGCTTTGTGGCATCTTCCGTTCTCTGGATTCACGCCAGACGCCATCAGCAGAGCCTCCAGGGACTGAGGGGCATAGAGCAGCAGATGAGTGGTTTCTCTGAAGCCCAGAGTAACTCGGATAGATTAGTTTGGTTGATAAACACAGAGCACAGCAGGCTCCAAAGGCAACTGAGGGTACAACTGACCTTTTTGTTCTCTGTCAGGGTCTAAGGAAAAGCAGTGAATACAGCAGGAACAGAAAGACCATCATCCCCCGCTGTGTGCCCAACATGGTGTGTCTGCACAAGTACATCATTTCTGAGGAGTCGGTATTTCTTGTGCTGCAGCATGCGGAAGGTTAGTTTGTAGTTTAAATTGTTTATGGAGCAAAGAATGTCGTCCACTTAGCTTTTCAGTTTCCATAATGTCCTTCTTACTCTTGTCATTGCATGAGCAGATAAAACATACAAAACACACGTAAGAAACTGTTTCCTCGTTCCTCCATTCTCTTTGAGTTGTGAGGGGAAACGAAAGCCCAGGTGAGCAGCAGATGTCATTTGAACTACAGTAACATTGTTAGGTATCCATAACTACTTGCTTTCTCCCAGAATTGATCTACTCCAACGCGAACTTTAAGGGGAATGTGTGTGTGCTAAAAGAGCTAGGCTTTATTTTAGGCGTTTTATTGTGTTCTCTGCAAAAAGGATACATTAATGTTAGATGACTTAAATAAAAAGCATCCCCTGAAGAACTAATTACCTCCTTTTTTAGAATGCATGGGTATTTGCTTAACATTTGACATTACCTAGTTATTATGATCTGAGTTTTTACGAATTCAGCCATTGGCATCACATATGGGCACAAAGCAGAGGCATGGTGCCCTGCCTTCAAACTATTTATGAAATTTCAACTCTTGGTGGAGGGAACAGGTGGCAAAAAAATACAATGTTTTGATTTGTTTTTGCCCTTTAATACCTGAATTTAAATAGTCTTTTATTTAGAATGACTGAATACAGCATATAAATATAAATCCACATAATAAACAATCGCCTTTAGGCTTTTAAGAGGTGTTTTTTTTTAAATAGTAAAAAAAATTTAAATTATTTTCCATACTTCACGAAGGTGCTATTATTATTTTTACATTACTGAGAATAAAGAAGTGTTATGTTTTACTAATAGGCATGACATTTGAATTTAATGCATTTGCCCAGGAAAATGAGTCATTGCTTTGTGGAATGAGGTCTTTTATGATAACTAATGCAAGATTTTTGACGGGGGCAATAAACTATTAATATTGTTTATTATGAAGTACAGCACAAGATAACTACAGATGGAGGGAAGACCTCCATATGTAGTATTTAATAGGAAATTCAGAAGGGGCTCCATGGTCTCTCAGGTATTAAGAGAGTTAATTGCGTGTGTGAATTGGATAACTAATTCACCTTTGTTCAGACATTATAGACAGCTTTTATCTGAGGATACCAGTGCATTACAGACATTATTGAATTAGAGGTCATGTCATCTGATAGCGAAATACAGCCACCTCTGGTGTGGAACAAAATAACTTGCGTAGTAATAATCCATAATAATTTAGAACAAGGTCAGTAGGATGAATGTAATTATAGTCAATATTCTATTACCCAGTGTGGATTATTCATGTTGGAGATTATCTGTGGCCAATTTTCGATTCTAGTTTGCCTCTGCTATTTGCAGCCTCTTCCTGTTCTTTCTCTTCCTTCTCCAGAACACACTTCCGTTTTACTTCTGCCATCTTCGCAGTCTCTCTTACACTCCTTAAAGCTGCTGTTGCAACTGATTTTACTTTAATCTGAGAAAATCTTATCAATTAAATTCCACTGTTTTAGATGATCTTTTCCAAGCTTCTTTTCCTTTGTTGGCCACACCTGACTCTGCATGGCTACGTGATCATAGAATTTGTCCTGGAAGTTTTTAAACTTGGTGAGGGAGGATCTCTTGTTGACCGTTCATTTCAGGTGCCTGTTGTTTAATTTTAAGAAGATTTTGTAACACACAGATATTAAGTTAAAGTGCAAATAGGGACTGTAAATTCATTTAACATTCAGCAAATTTATTGAGCATGTATTTTGTGCTAGACTCTCTCTTAGGTGAGCAACACAGGAAAAGAGCTTGTCCCTTTGAAACTTACATTCCTGTGGAGAGCCCAACAGAAAACAGAAAGCTTGATAATACCGGCTAATAATAGGGACTATACTGCTCTCTAACACAGAGAACTCTATAAAAGAATGACTGGGGAACTACTTTAGGAAGCCTGCTCTAGGAAGGTGCCATTTAAGAGGAGTGTTGAATGACAACCGTTTGGATGTAAGTGGGAAGCCCTTTCTAGGTATAGGGATCAGTTTAAGTAAGAAATCAAAAGCAAAAACAATGTTTGATGAACAAGAAAGGAGACAATTTGGTTGGAGTGTATAGTAGGGGAGGGCATTTATGGTATATGAGGCTATTGGAGAAATAGGCAGGAGTCTTGTACTGAAGGGTAAGGACTTTGGCTTTTATTCAAGTGCATTGGAAACCCACTGGATTTCTAAAGCAATGGCAAGATCTGATTTACATTTTAAAAAGATCTCTCTGGCTGTTGGGAATGGGTTACAAACAGGTAAGCCTACAAGCAATGTGTAGTCTAGACAAGAGATGATGGCGGCATGGCCTTCTGGGGTTCTAGCCATTATGCTTTGAGGGTAGACTCAGTGGGACCTGTGATGGATTCTAGGTTAGGGAAAGAGGAATCTAGGTGAATTTTTTGGATTGCTCACTTGAGTAATCAGGTGAGGTGTATGATGGGCAGTGTGCTATCTTTTACATGTGAGTGGTATTTTCTTTGTTACCTCTGTGAATTAGAAGGCTGTGCATAAATCACAAATACGTTAATTTCATATGTATAAATAGCTATTCCTGAAAAATAAGTGTTGAGCAATTGTTTTCTCTGTAATATGAATGCTCGAATATTTGTGATTTGTGGCTTTAGCTCCCTCCTGCTTACAGGACTATTCAGGATTCATGTAAGTCTCTTGGACTGATTTTCCTTCCATTTTTAATTCATTTAGTCAGAAATATATTGGCACTTACTGGGATACAGGCTTAGTTGTAACGTGGCAATGAACAAAACCAAGGAAGACTTTGCCCACATGGTGCTTACACTGAGAAGCAGAAAAGATAATAAGCAAATACATTAGTAAATATATGTCAGATGGAGATAAATTCTATGGAGAAAAGTTAAATAAAAGAAGGAGAAGGGAATGCCAAAAGGGTGTGGTGGGGGTTACTATTTTATCTAGAGTGGTCACCTTATTAAGAAAGGGATGTTTGGCCAGTGACCTGAAGGAAGTGAGGGGGGAGTGCTGTGGATAGGTAAGGGGAGAGCATCTCAGCAAGAAAGAACACATAGGCCTGGAACCAGGCGTGTACTCGGGGCATAAGAAACAGCAAGGTTACTGCAGCTGGAGCAGAATGGGAAGAATGTGGAGAAGTGGGGCGGCTGGCGGGCAGATCTTCCTTCTGTGGTCTTACAGCTTGGTTTTTATTCTGAATAAAAAAGAAGCCATTGAGGGATATTGAGCAGAGGAGTGGCAAGATAGGGCTCACTCTAGTTGCTTTGTGGAAAATGTAGTCTAGGAGGGCAAAGACAAAAGCAGTGAGACCAGTTTGGAAGTTTCTGTAGCAATGCAGGTGAAAATAATTGTGGCTCACCCATAGTGTTAGTGGTGGAGGTGGTAAGGCATGATTGTTAGATTCTGAATCTGTTTTGAAGATAGAACTGACCTGATTCTGTTTTACACGCTTGCAAGGTTTTTGACTTAAGTAGCTGAAAGAAGGGAGTTCCCATTTATTAAGATGGGGAAAGCTGTGGGAGGGGTCAATTCGGAGGGGGAAAAGTCAGGGATTCAGTTTGGGAATTGTAAGTTTGAGATACTTATTAAATATCCAGGTGGTGTTGAGTGGGCAGTTGGATATAGTAGACAGGCTTTTAGGAGAGAGATTTAAAATGTTTATTGTTCCTATTAATGAATCCCTTATGTTAATTCTGTTTGGGGAGGAAAAGGTGAGAAAATAATTGTATTCAGTCAAGGCCATGTGTGTCATTAAAACTTGAAATTCCTAAGATTAGGAACTATGTGATTTTCAGCATCTGTATCCCTTCCCCCCATTTAGCAGAATACTTGGTACACAGAAGGTGCTCAGTGCAGAATTGCTGACTGCTGAGTCAGAGAAAAGGTGAATGCCTAGGTTAGAAGGAAATGGGGACATCTGGGTGACTTAGTCGGTTGAGCATCCAACTTCGGCTCAGATCATGATATCATGGTTCGTGAGTTTGAGCCCTGCATCAGGCTGTGTGCTGACAGCTCAGAGCCTGGAGCCTGATTCAGATTCTGAGTCTCCCTCTCTCGCTGTCCCTCTCTCACTCATGCTCTGACTCTCTGTCTCTCTCAAAAATAAACAAACATTAAAAAAATTAAAAAAAAAAAAAAAAAAAGAAGAAATGATTGAAAAGCCTGCACATGTGGATACATCAGAGATGAGGGATGGGAAAGGGTTTTGCCCCAAGTTACTTGGGTGAAGTTTCAAGGGGTGCAATGATTCTTTTTTTATTAACTAGTTTTTTTGTTTTGATTATGAAACTAATATGTAAAGCAATACATTTGAACTATGTATAGAAGTACATAAAAATAAAAAGTCTCTCCTCCTAGTCATTTTAATGCCCTGTTCCACTCTCAAGAAATAGGGGGAGATTTTCCTATGTGTATAAATATATTCTCCCTACCTGTCTAGTTAAAAAAAAAATGGATCTTACATATTGTTCTATAGGCTGTTTTCTTCCCCCATCTTAACAATGTACCTTGGACAACTTTCCTTATCAGTATATATAGGTCTGTATTAAGAGAGACCAGTGCAATAATTAAAAACAAGGAATCTGGAGCCAGACTACTATTAGTTTGTGTGACCTTGGGCAAGGTATTTAATGTTTTTGTGCCTCCATTTCCTTTTCTGTAAAGTTGGGATGATAATTGTCCACCTCATAGAGTTGATGTGAAGATTAAGTAATTCACGTATGTGAAACACTTAGAATAGTACCTGGCACATGGTAAACAGTATGTAAGTACAGTACAACCTTGACTTGAGAGCATGATTTGTTCCAGAAACATGCTTATAATCCAAAGTACTTGTATATCAAAGCGAATTTCAAGAACCATTGGCTCAGTTGTGATCATGTGACATTTGGTGTCATGTACTATTTGTATTGCAAGACATCGCTCATTTATCAAGTTAAAATTTATTAGAAATGTTTACCCATCTTGTGGAACACTCACAGAGCAAGTTACTTGCAGTCCAAGGTTTTACTATATTTGCAAATATTGCTATTATTTTTTGGGATAAAAAATATTTGGTTGTATAGATTTATCGTAATTTATTTAACTATTCTCTTATTAACTGGTGTTTAAATTGTTTCTAGTACTTTTGCATATATGTCTTTGTATACTTTTGTTTGCTTTTTTGAGAACTGTTTGTAACATGAATTTCTTGAAGTGGAATTCCTGGTTCGGAAAATGATTTTGAGCATTGTTCCAGCAGTATTTTATCAGACCTGTTAGTGTCAGATTCTAATTCTGGCCAAGCCCATTTAACAAATATTCTTTGCAATCTTTCAGAAAACCAGTAAATTAAAATTTAATGAGAAACACAGAGTTTTCATTAAACTTTATGAATTACTAATTTCATAACTTGAAATAGCTAATCTCTCCAATTTTATAGGCTTCAATGGGGCTTAGAAAGGTGTCATTTATATTTCTAAAGTGTTAAAAATTATAAATAAGTTAGGTATTTTTTATTTATATTTTGAGATTTGGCAATAACGGATTTTTTTAAAGGATAATGTTTTTCATGTTAGAATAATAATAATGTTGACATTTGTGTAAGTTTGTCTGTTAGGCCTGATCTTATCTTGATAAAAAGTAAAACCTATTCAACTTTCGTGGGTGAGAAATTTCAGTGGAAATAATGTGTTCTTGTAAGTTTGGTGATTTTCATAATTTTGTAGTTGATTAAAAAATATGGGTTAGGACTCAACTTTTGCTTCCATAGCTCTATATCAAGTATTAAATTTACCTGGGCACCTAGCAAACAGTGGAGAAGGGCTAAAACAGTTTTGTTTCTGTTGAAAAATACCATTTTTACAATCCACTTTCGGATGCTTGTTTGGGCTAGGCACAAATTTTATGAAGAAAGTGTCAACCATCACATCTAAAAATTCTGTGTAATAATGAAAAGAATGGAAATTAAGTGAGGTGCCATATTTGATTAATCAAATTGGTCAACTTGGTAATATCCAGTATAGGCAAGTTGCTATGAAGTGGCATTAGTGCACTGTGCTTACGGGAGTGGATTCGCGTCCAGCCTTTCTGTAAAGCAGCTTCACAACACATTATCAGATGCATTAAAAATATTCATGCTTTTTGATCTAGTACTTGCATTTCTGGGATTCTATCCTGATGAAATTGGCAGAGATGTCAAATACTTCCATGTAAAAGTACATATTATTTTAATTCTAATAGTAAAAGATTGGAAACAATGTGAATGTCCCACAATAGATGAACATTTAAATACCTCATAATATCTATCCCATGGACATGCTGTATAGCCATTCAAGTTCATAGCCTCATGAAAATTAGAAAACGTTTATGATGTGATGTGATGTTAGTCACAAATAAAAAGCCTGAGAATAAATGAAAAGATAGTTAATGGTGTTTATAGGTGACTTATTTATTTTTGTTTTTCTTTTCTTTTTTAAAATTGTTTATAATAAAACCATATATTTGCTTTAAAATAGGAATAAAGTATTATAAAATATAATGACATTATTAATATTTATAGACCTTTATTCTTGACAAGTGTTCAAAATACTTGGAAAGATGTCATCTTTTTGTAACCCAATGTAATAAATATTTATTTAATACATATTATTTTACATGCTAGGCAGAATCCTCTCCCTGCAATCTGGTAAAGGAGATGATAAAAATATAAAAGTAATATTAATGTGAACTAGAATATTTTAAATGTTGTAACAGGGACTAAGGGATATAAAAGATTCAGAGAAGATAGTCATATTTGCTGAGGGGATAGCAAAAAATTGGTAAAAAGAAAACAAATTCTGAGGGACTGTCAAGAAGAGTTGGGATTTTGATAAGCAGATATTGGACAAACTAATGAGAAGGTAAATTCTTTAAGTGGTAGGTATAGGTTGAGCAAAAGCCCAGAATGGGTTATATTTGGAGAAATCCAATTCTGATGAATTATTTGATGAGCTGAGTCCGAGAACTAAGTCTTAGCTTGACACACTGTATTACTGAGGAGTTCAGTGCCTCAACGGAGTTGGTATGTCATTCAGTGGGTCGAGGGGATTTGGGTTCTTGAATGGAGTAATAATGTAAGATCTGTGCTAAAGTGGAAGATTAACTAGGCAGCAGTTAGTACGATAGGGTGATACAGGAAGGAGTTAAAGCAGGAATCGAATTATAACTATAAAGTTATTCCAAGCAGCAGACTGGCCAAAGGAATCAATGGAAGAGGAAAACTGTGTGAAACATGTGAAACATTATGGGCATACCCTAAAGACGTGGAAGCTTGTCAGATGTAGAAAAACAAGGGAGGAAAAAATAATCTTAAGTTTAGTCCAAAGCTTTTGTGTGAGAGTGGCTTAGAGGTCGGAAAGAGGAAGTCATTTGGAGACAAAACGAAAGAACTTAAGCACATTGAATTTTAGATTTCAGATGAAATTGGCCTAAGAATGAATGAAATTTTTCTTGGAATTTTAGTGCGTCTTGCTATTACTGGAACGTTGCAATGACTGTCTGCTTTGTGATGGCGCATCACATTCTTAGTTACCATCTGAGTTAAAGAAGCACCAACTGAATGCCCGCCATGTCCTGCACACTGTGCAGGAAGTAGATAAAGAGGAAAACAACGGTCCTGTCCTCACAGTAGCCCCCATCTAGGAGACCCGGAAACAACACACGTTGTTGTAGTTGGATTGCGTACAAGAATTCCAGATTCCGGTTCAGGCTTTACTGTAGGGTTCCATAACAGAAGTGATTGTGAGGAGAGGAATGTGGCTGTTGTTGTCAAAAAACTAAAAAAACAAAAAACAAACAAACAAAAAAGATGAAATCAATGCATGCCTTCTTTTCAAAGGTGTTTCAAAGTTCAGTATGAACCCTTAAATTTTAGTTTGACTCTGGGGAGATATGAAACACTAAGAATAACCTAGTGAGGACAGAAAGTTAGCTAAGAAAAAAATGAGAGTGAAAAGTTAAATGGCCTAATGTCCAATACTATTAATTATTATCAAAATAGGAAAAGACTGTTAACTAGGTCACCGGCAAAGGAGATGTCTGAGTATTTTAGGATTAATATTGTAACAACTACCCTTTATTGCACATTTATTGCACATTTACTCAATAATAGGCACAGTACTGGGTGCTTTATGTATTTACTGAGTTTCTCTAAAGTGAAATGAAATGGCAATGTACAAAAAGATTTTTTTGGATGCTTCCACCAACCTGTTTATTATACACAATAATTGACTATCAGTAATTATTTCTTTTATGATTGTCACCCTTGGTATAAGATGCTTAAGAAAGACATTAAAAATGTGCTGAAAAGGGGCACCTGGGTGGCTTAGTTGGTTAAGCATCCGACTTTCGCTTAGGTCACGATCTCGCGGTTCGTGGGTTCGAGCCCCGCGTCGGGCTCTGTGCTGACTGCCGGCTCAGAGCCTGGAGCCTATTTCGGAGTCTGTGTCTCCCTCTCTCTCTGACCCTCCCTTGCTCACACTGTCTCTCTCTATCCTAGAAATAAATAAAAATTAAAAAAAATAAAAAATAAAAAAAAAAATAAAAATGTGCTGAAAAAAATTACCTTTTCCATGTTAATGGAGGGGATTCATTTTTAACACATTATTTCCCATTTTTGGAAGCTATAGTTGTATCTTCACAAAGTATGCTGCTGCATACTTTGTTTATAAGATTTCTGGATCAAATTTAACTATTCTTTTTTCTCATAATACAGTAAAGCTTTGATAGGTGTTTGATACTTATTATAGCCATTTATTCAAAGAATCTAATGAGCAAAACGGGCTGAGTTTTTAATGGTTAAAACAAAAGAAAAATAAAGTGAAATAACTAATGAGTGTTACTGGTAAAACATTGGATTACTTTGTGTTTATTTGATTTTTATGAATTTATTTTTATGATTTTACTTTTTATAGGTTTCTGATATATATCAGAATACAGAATCAGGATTTCAGTAGCTTGCCTCATTAATGCCCAGTTAATTTTCCTCAGTAGCTTTACTTGGTTTTCTACCATGCATGATGTGTATGGGAAATGGAGAAGATGGGGAAATTGTTATTAATATGTCATTTATAATGGCATAATTATATACCAGATGCCATATCTTCCCTCTAATCTTCAAAATGGAATAATATTGTTGATTCCACCCCCCCACTGTAGTATATACAGTTTTAAGCAGCACTTATTTATGTTTTTCCACTTGACCAAGGGTCCATGCTTGAAAAAATTACTACATAAACAGCTCAGAACATAATCACATGTTCCAGCAGCTAAATCATATTTAAAGCAGTGTTCTAGCTGTGGGATTTCATATTTGTATTTGTTAAACTAATTTCAAAGGAAAAAATAGGTTGTCATTTAAAAAATAATTGATATCAAGGAGATAGGTTTAAAGCTATACTCACCAGTCAGCAATCACAAAAAAAAAATTTTTTTATTTAAATACTTGTTTTATAGCACACTTGATATTAATGGGTATCGCTGACTTGCTTTTGACTGATTATTAGAATAGTTTTTGTTTTCTATTGGCTTCAATAAGTAACCATTAATTTGGGGATCTTAAAAATTTTTTTGGTTATACTTGTTCACAGGTGGCAAACTCTGGTCATATATCAGTAAGTTTCTAAACAGAAGTCCTGAAGAAAGCTTTGACATCGGGGAAGTGAAAAAATCTGCACTTAATAAAGTTCACCTGCAACAGCCAACTTCTAGTCCTCAGGACAGCAGCAGCTTTGAATCCAGAGGAAGCGATGGTGGAACGATGCTTAAAGGTCTGCCTCTGAAGACTAGTCTTACTCCAAGCTCTCAAGATGATAGCAACCAAGATGAAGAAGGCCAGGATAGCTCTCCAAAATGGCCAGATTCTGGCTCAAGTTCAGAAGAAGAGTGTACCACGAGTTATTTGACTCTATGCAATGAATATGGGCAAGAAAAGATCGAGCCAGGGTCACTGACTGAGGAGCCTTTCATGAAGATCGGAGGGAGTGCTGTTGATACCAGAATTACCGAAAGCTTCCCAGCACACCTCGCTGCTGACAGTGGCAGCTCCAGCACCCAGCACGTAGCTCACGAGCTGAAGTTCTTTGCTGGAGATGATGACCTAGAAGCAGATAGTTCTCCAAGAACGTCAGATTCCCTTAGTAGATCTAAAAACAGCCCCATGGAATTCTTTAGAATAGATAGTAAGGATAGCACTAGTGAACTCCTAGGCCTTGATTTTGGAGAAAAATTGTATAGTCTAAAGTCAGAGCCTTTGAAACCATTTTTCACTCTTCCAGATGGAGACGGCACTTCCAGGAGTTTCAGTACTAGCGAAAGCAAGGTAGAGTTTATAGCTCAGGACACCATTAGCAGGGGCTCAGATGACTCTGTCCCAGTTATTTCTTTTAAAGATGCTGCTTTTGATGATGTCATCGGCACTGAGGAAGGAAGACCTGATCTCCTTGTAAATCTACCTGGTGAACTGGAGCCCATCAAGGACGGTGCAGCAATGGGACCCACTCCATTTACACAGACTAATATAGGCATAATTGAAAGTAAATTGTTGGAAGCCCCCGATGTTTTATGTCTCAGGCTGAGCACTGAACAACGCCAAGCAAGTGAAGAAAAAGGCACAGAGGAATTGAGTGATCCCTCCAGGCCTAAACCCCACAGCATAGCCGAGAAACACAGTGTACAGGGGGATCTCGGGATGTTATGTGTAGCAGCCATTGGTCATGGTAGTTCAGAAGACGTGTCTTTGTTACACAGGTCGGATCCTAAGTTACAAGGCCTTGGAACGGTTGAGTCGACAGTAACTGCAAACAACATGGAAGAAAACATATTCCATGTTTCTAACCCACTCTCAGGTGCTCATGAATATAATGTAAACACAGACACTTTAAAAACTGAAGAAGTATTGCTGTTTACAGATCAAACTGAGGATTTGGCTAAAGAGGAACTGACTTTATTTCAGAGAGACTCAGAGACTAAGGGAGAGAGTGGATTAGCACTAGAAGGAGACAAGGAAATACATCAGATTTTTGAGGACCTTGATAAAAAATTAGCACTAAACTCCAGGTTTTACATCCCTGAGGGCTGCATTCAGAGATGGGCAGCTGAAATGGTGGTAGCCCTTGATGCTTTACATAGAGAGGGAATTGTGTGCCGCGATTTGAACCCAAACAACATCTTATTGAATGATAGAGGTCAGGAACTTTTGCAAATGCATTTCTTTTTATTCGCTGTTGCTTCCAATTAACTGAGTAGGCGTTTTATCTTGTAATTAGTATCTTCATTTCCTGTCTAGAGCTTCATTATCAGTGCGGCAAATTCACCCCCAGTAATAGCTTCTAGTACTTAATGATGCCATTATTCTTAATGATACTGTTTTTAGCTACAAAAGGAGTAATTACAGTTCACTTCTGCAGAAAATGGAAGAGAAAAATGTTTTGATTTCTCCTGTCGTTTTGTTTTTAGGACACATTCAGCTAACGTATTTTAGCAGGTGGAGCGAGGTTGAAGATTCCTGTGACAGCGATGCCATGGAGAGAATGTACTGTGCCCCAGGTTAGAGCAGTCTCAAAATGTTTCACTTGAAAAAGTAGTTCAATGTCTCTCTTTTCCTTATAGAAGTTGTATTTTTCACTAGCGGTTCACATAGGTGTTGGACTTGGGTATCTCTTGAGTATTCAAAAAAGAAAATGTGGGGATAAAACCATTATATATTCCAGAGGTGTGTGTGTGTGTGTGTGTGTGTGTATGTTACTGTTAAATGGACTTGTACTTCTCTTAGGAGAGACAGGTAATTCTGTCTTAGAAATGTCTTAACTTCTCAGTGTTTAGAAGGACCTTTAAATTCCCTGTGAGAGGTAGCTGACTAAAGGAGTAAAATTCCCAAGGACAAAAGTGGAAAGAATATGGAATTTTTAAAAACGCGATACTGTGACTTCAGTGATGAGCCAGGCTCGCAGGCCCAGCAGATTTTAGAGTTCTTTCTGCCTTTGAGACATTTTAGGAAGCATGTTTTTCTTGCTTTAAAACAGCCAGTTGAGCCACATATTTGACACAACAGATTTTGCTTGCTCTTACTGTATTGTCTTTATTTTTTTAAAAATTAGAGCTTTATTTCGGGGGGGGGGGGTGTTAGATTCTCTGCCGATAATTACAGGTCATGTAAGCATATGAATTGGATTCGAGTTAGTGTCTTTCTGTCAGTGCACATGGGGCTATATTTGAATCCAAAGTTCGTTCACCTTTTGCCCAGCTCTCAGCCTCTTTGGATAGCCCAAGTTACTTTACTTGTCACCCCACTGGCTTTCAGAGGAGGTTCAAGCTGATTATGGTGACATGATCTGCTTAGGTGTTGATTAATACAGTATTTAACGCTTCCTAGCTAACCAGTGTATTATTGATGCTAACATTGTTTCCCTGCATAATGGGAAGTGATTATAATTAGGATTGAAAGAGCTATATTGTTTTAAGTTACAACCTTCATTGTTAAGAATTATTCCTGGATTGGGGAGTAGTTAAGTTTTTCAACTTGCAAAGCAAATGCCCCAATGGATTTTTTTTTCTTAGTGTTATACTCTTTCTTCCCTCAAATTAGCGGTGTTTGATTTTTATTTCTTCCTAGGGGCAATAGAGCATGCCTACATTTTTTGTTTCTCTCAAGTAGATAATATGCTGTTTTTTGAAGCCTTATTAGTACGATTTAGTTAATGGGATAACAAAAATAATTTCATAGTGAAATCACTTTATTATGGTTATCTGGTTCTTTTTTAAAATACTCACTCCCATTTATAATTTGATAAATAACATCTTAGGTGCCAGTGTATGTAAATACATATATTAATCATAATGAATTTGAAGGTTTTAGGATCAAAATTAAATGTGGGAGTTCTTTTAGGTTTATTTACTTTGAGAGAGAAAGAGAGAGACTGAGTGGGATGGGGCAGAGAGAGAGGGAGAGAGAATTCCAAACAGGCTCTGCACTGATAGCCTGACAGTCCCACCTGGGGCTTGAACTCAAAAATCATGAGATCATAACCTGAGCAGAGATTAAGGGTCAGACACTTAGCCAGCTGAGCCACCCATGTTCCCCAAATCTGGAAGTTCATTTAAATGAAACCTACTAAATCCAGAAGTGAAGTGCAGGATAAACCTCACATCCAAACCAGATGTTCATGAGGCATTGTTTCGTGTTTATAACTGAGTCCTTATTTCCTATTTTTATTTTCACTTTCTTATTGAAAACTTTGGCATTCTAGCCGATTGTTTCTACAACGTGCAATGTTTACTTTAATATTCACAGCATGTTGACATCCTGAAAATTTTAATATGTGTTTAATAAATCTATACTATATTCATCAACAAATACATACTTTTAATTTTGTCTACTTGGAACAGTGAATTTAATCCAGATCAGTTTCCCTGTTTTTAAGTCTTTCCCCAGAAATCACAATTCTCAAAGTTTACCAGCAGGTGGCAGTCTACCATTAATGCATTTTTGCTGTCATTTTCCAGGTTGTCCTTCACTAACATTTGAAAAAAGCTGTCTGAAGAAGGGCTTTGTTTTAATTATTTGCATGAAAGAATTGTACTTCCAAGCTTTGTGAGTTGCAAGACTGCTCTAGCTTTATAGCATGCACTGAACAATGTGGAAAGTCTCTTCTATTTTTGGGACCTATTAATTTGTTTTGTCAACAGGAGAAAACAAAATGGCCTTAACTGAAAAGTAGAGCTAGTCTTGTAATGTAGATGATCTAGAGTTACAGAACTCTGTTAAGTCTGGGTTCTCCCACCCCTTGCTTACAATGCAAGGGGAATTGGAACCAAAAATTGTAAATTACTGTTTGTTTCAAAAGTGAATAGTAGTGCTATTGTTAAAAACTATAAATAGGGCTTCCTCCTCTTTTTCAAAGGGTGGGAGCAATGCTAATATGCTAATATTTCAATGCTTAGAAGTCACAAATCCATTAATACTTTGAGGACACAGAGTACTTAGTCATCTTTTAGTCTATCTACTCTTAGAAACACTAAGGGCTGTAGTAATTCTCTCCCACATCCCTCTGCCCTTACACTTTCCAACTCTAACCTTAGTATTATTGTCCGAGTAACTCTAAGGCATGTTAAGCAGCTGATGTTTGGTTAGAAAGTAAAGTTGTCATAAGATTATGATGAGAACGATCCACTTCTGTTTAAACAGCATGCAGCCTCTACCCCGACCACTCCTCCCTCCTGGGAATCCTTATCACATATTTGTCCTAAAAACATTATCCACCTGCCCTGTGCTGTATAATATCAGCAGTGTATCTTTTCATCTTGTGGATGATGTGCCTTTATATTTTGAGAAAAATTTCCAGTAACAGATTCGATTTACATGGACAGAAACTTGAGCACATGCCAAACTAGCAGGGGGGCCATTATTCTGCTCTATAAATAAGTTTAAAAAAGAAAACACACACACACAGAAACCTGTGAATCAACATGTTTTGGTCTAATTGAGGGGAAAAGCAAGATAGATAAATTTTGAAATGCAAATGATCACCTTCTGTTATTTAAGTAGCGTTTCTGCCAACTTTGCGATCTTAGATTTTAAAAAGTCATGGTCGCTTCAGCACTGCTTACGACCAAGGATATGTGACATTCACAAGTTTCTACAACGACATGAAGAACTTTTTAAAAAAAGTTTCCACTTTCTTATATTAAGGAAAACAAGTCCAGTAACAAAAAGACAAAAACCAACGAGCTTTCTCTGTCTACATCTGTGAAAAAGCCAGCAAATAAATGGCTGCAGCTGCAGGCCTATCGAGTGGGTCTTGAGAATACGAATTCACTGATCAAATCCAGCCCTGTTTCCAAAATAGAGACCATTCCTTTTAGGTTCACTTTGTATCCTTAGATTATCCAGAATGATTCTCTAGAAAGGTTGTATTTTAAGTAACCATCATTTATGGTAAATGGGCTCCTTTCATATCAAAGAAATACACAGGACAGAGTTTAGGAAGAGAAAGAGCAGAGAAATAGACCCCAGAGTGGGACTAGATTGCATAGCATGACAGTACAAACATGACACAGCCTCGTTTCCACACTGGGGGCCTTCTAAGTACTTTATTAAGAGACCTTCAGACAAGTTCTCCTATTTTTCGTTGTGAGAGTTTACAGAACAAAAACTGGAGTAAATTGATTATTCTTCTCTAGAGGACTTCTTTGTCATTACTCTGGTTTTATTTCTGTATTTGTGTACTCCACACACAAGGGATTTTATGTGCTTTATCATTGAAACTATTTACCATAATGTAGAATAAATTTTTGTTATAGCATTTTAAGTATAAAGGAAGAATAAAGTGTCAAGAAAGTATTTTTTTAAGTTTTGACTCTCATCATAAAAAAAGCAGCCAGAAAATAGAACCTATAATATTAAGCATATAAAACACAAAAGACTATACTTGAAGTTTAATATGCAATCTAAGGCAAGTGAGTAAAATTGTTTATATGTTCGTTATTATGCTAATATAGTCACTTAAGTTTCTCATTCCAGTCTTCACAAGTTGTTATGGTACCTATCAGAGTGTGTCCTTCACCTTTATTTTCCACTCCACTATGAGCCTTTATAAATGCTTGGAATTTACATTGATATTTCTCGTTGAATACTTTTCAGACTTGAGAATTTATAGGTGAATATGTGTGTAAATTGAAGAAGTCCAGAATGCTTTTTACTGCAGGCCAATCTCCACGCTCCCAGATGTCAAATGACAGCTTTGCTTCCTCTCTTAGGCGATTTCACACTTGGAAACAGCTCACAGCTGACGGTGAAAAGTGAAACAGAAAAACCATGCTGAAACTATCTGTAAAATTCAGCTTTCGAGCATGACATTTATTTACTACCACCCTTTGCTCTTCTAGCCTGACTTTATCAAATAGGCTATGAATATATTTTTTGAGGGTAGTCTCTTCTGCCCTTTGTCATCAGTGGGTCTTACATGTCTTTTGTTGCTTCTCTAAGCATGGTGCTCTATGTCATAGTTATGTATTTGATAATTAGATCTAGGACCCAGATCATGGATGGCTTAAAATATCATGAGACCATCATTAAGTTTAAGATTTAGAATAGTAAGGCAGAATTAAGAATGACCAAACTTCAGTATTTGTCCCACATCAGCCATTGCATGACCTTGGGCATGTTGTTTAAGACTTTCTAGACCTTAATTTATCACTAGTCAAATAGATTTGTAGAATATAAAAAAGATCACAGATGTCAAATCATCTAATGCCTTTCTTACACAAAATGCAGTCAAAATTCAAGTTTATTTTATTATGACAAGAATTTCCCCCCCAAGGCTAAATAATGATTTCTTTGTCTAATTATTTTTTGTCTAAATATCTTGTGTAATAATTATTTCACTTGGAGTACTTTCTAAGTATAAACCTATACTCATTTATAAGGTATTTATATAATATATGTGATGCAGAAATGAGGGATTTATGGAATGTATTTTCATTTGGAGGAGAAAAGCCAAGACACTTTTTTGAGTAGGGTGAAATTTGATTGCCAAGATTCTCCCCAA